CTGGACCTGAATCCAGCCTGGAATCTAAACCGGAATCTGGACCTGAATCCAGGCTGGAATCTAAACCGGAATCTGGACCTGAATCCAGGCTGGAATCTAAACCGGGATCTGGACAAGAATCCAGGCTGGAATCTAAACCGGAAACTGGACCTGAATCCAGGTTGGAATCTAAACTGGAATCTGGACCTGAATCCAGGCTGGAATCTAAACTGGAATCTGGACCTGAATCCAGGCTGGAATCTAAACTGGAATCTGGACCTGAATCTAGGCTGGAATCTAAACCGGAATCTGGACCTGAATCCAGGCTGGAATCTAAACTGGAATCTGGATGGATGATAAACAGCAAGTGATATTTCCAGAGATGTAGTTGGAATTGAAGCAAAGGAGTGACCTATTAATCCATGAAACATACTCACACATATCCGTACATATCATCCTGTCTTATTGTGTGTGGGCAAAGCTGTCATGCACACAATCGGAAAAATATGTTATTACTGTAAATAATTATGAACAATAAAAACTGAAAATAAAAACTATGAACAATTAATAAGGAAAATATGTGATTTGCTATGCATTTTCCAGAGAATTATTACAAGTCCCAGAAGTGCATACGAGTCGTCAAAACGTACAGTTTGGTGACAGAACCCAAATGAGAAGTCTGGAGTCACGGCGAATACTTCTAGCGAGTCACCCCTCTAAAAACGCCATTACTGTGCCAATGACATTGAACTTTGTTCTTCCATAAAGCAGCAGTTTCCATCTTCAAATGGCCAAGCATGTCTATTGTTTCACAACGACTGTCCCAGGGGATTTTCGTCTTCCCAATTTCTCAAGATAAACGTCCCAGGGTTGTTTTGTGTACTAGAAGGACATGTTTATTGGCAGCATTTCTTGTATTAATTTCCATTGCACAAAAAAAAGAAGAAGCAAATACCTGAAGCACAGAATTTGCATGAATTTTTCTCCCCGGTCATTCACGCAAACTGCAAACGAAGTCTTTTACCTCATCCATAGTTGTTGACACTTTGCAACCGCCCTGAAGGATGTATTGTGACGTATTTTGACCCCGGATTCTGACCTTGCGTTCCGGCTACATGTACTGCCCTTTCATACCAGTTCAATTTCCTTTCATTATTACATCCAAATGTCATGGTATTTAATATTTAAAACCAACCTTTATTTCACAGTCACTTTAGTTTTCACTTTTCACTCCCATCATGCAATCTCCCATAGTACTTCCGCAGACACAGCGACGATCGCCAACATATCTACAAATAACCTCGCTCTCAGGAGCTGAGGAATGAGCACATTTATTTTGAATGTATAATAAAATAAAACAATAAATTGCTTATACATGCATTCACACATTTAGAGCTAACAGAAAATATATAATATGTCTAGTAAAATGACATCTTCATTATGAACTTGAATATATGTGATCTTGAACTTGGGTCTTGTCATTTAAATAACATTTTTGGAAAATTATTTTACAGAACTCACTCAAAGTTATGGATTTATCATAATAAATAATTCAATCATTAAAACTATAATAGCTAATAACAAAATTAGGGACTAAAAGTCGTTAAAATGGCATTCTGAGTTTGAATGACATACCCTGTTCGTAAATATAAATTAGGCCAAACCGACTTAATTTTATGGATGACATCCGCGCGCGCATTAGTTTTCGCCTGTTCTCAAAAAAAAAAAAAAAATCTCCGACAACGAGTCTTCACAGATCGGTTTTCTGCCTGGAACTTGTTGGCTCATATTGTCACAAAGCGCCGGCTTGTCGTAAAACTAGTTTTGGACTATTTCAAAACGTGCCAATTTTGTCGTAAATGATTCCAACATGACGACCACGCCACCAAAATACGTGAGCATAAAAGTTCAGAGGAAAAACGGAAGGATTGTTGTAGACTGGTACGCAATTGACGTCGGCCAGGGAGCTGTGACGTTTACACAGCTATACGAGAGATTAGTAGCGGCAAGCGAGTTTCGCCTAGACAACTTTAAGAACATATTGTCCAGAGTGGCTGTCCCACGTTTCTTCTGCAACGATGAGAAATGGGAGAGGAGTGGAGGTGTATGGTGCCTAAAAGTTGGTCAGGCGACAAGTCAGTTCGGTTGCTTTGTCTGCATTGAAGTCAACAAAACTGCAACGAAAGCAGAGGAAGCTCCTCGTCGAAGTCCGCTTTCGAGGTGAAGAAAATTTACTTCTTATTTTTTTTTTTTTCATTTTCTGATTTGGATAATTTGCTTGCACACACAGTGCAATGTTTTGTTAGTTATTGTCATAAAGTAGTGATATGTACATTCCGCCTTGACTTGTACTGAAAATGGTGTTCATGCTGTACCTTGAATGCAGTGTTTCTGACTGAAGGTACTTCAGTATGACTACATGCACTAGAGCTTGTCTGAAATTGTTATACCTGTGACAGTAATACAGTACGAGATGTGTATATCAACATGTGCCTCCTACAAATAAAGACTTTTTGTTGTTTTTTTGATACACTCTGTTCCGTGGTTCAATTCGTAATACCAGCTCTGTAGCCCTGTGGTTGGCTCTCTACATAACACTATATGAATCAAGCATTTTTATTGGCTCTTTAAATAACACTGTATGCATCAAGCATTTTCATTGGCTCTTTACTT